ACTGTTCTGGCTTACATACAAATTCGACTTAAGGACAGACCTTGGGAACCTCAGGCTTTTCATAGTAGTGCTTCCTTTTCAGATTGCCAGCAACAGTTAATTTTCAGGGATAGTAGCAACAGAAGACACCATCTGTTAAATCTAAGTGCATTATGAAACTCAGGTCATTTCTCGGCCAGGTTCAGATGTTGGTATAATCGAACCATTTCAGCATATTACCTGTTAAAAGCATTTCAGATTGCCCTGTTAAGCTACTGCCAACTATCCTGAAATTTTAACACAAACATGTTTTAGGAGTTATGCTGCTAGAGACATTTAAAATAGTTGCTATGTTAGCAGGATATGATGAAATACAGTTCATCATAAAAAATTACCTTTTTTTCTGGTGTTCTTGTACTAGAGATGCTAGTTTCCAAGTGAGCCATCTGCCTGTAATCAAGTAACTTTATTTTTTATTTTTTTACAAGAATTTGAGGCCACCTGACATCAAAATGACTCTGGGCAGCTTACACTAAAACAAGAAAATGATAAAAGAAAAGCATTAACTATTTGTCATCAAATGAAAAATTTTAAATAATATATTTAGCACATATAGTCTAGTCATTCCATTCTATCTAAAAGAAATAAATGCATTGTGTCTTTTAAAGTCTTAATATATGTATTTTAAGTCTTTATTATGGAAAACAAACAAACAAAATGTGTAGATTGCATAGCCCTAGAATAAAGAAATGCTTCAGTCATACAAAGTGGCTGCTAACTTATACCTTTCTGTTCAATATTGGCAGTATCTGGCTATTTCCTTCTGCTTTACCATTCTGAAATGAAGAATCCAGGTGATACTCATTTAGCTGTGTTGTTTGTGTGAACACAAAATTCAATCTGCTCCTTAATTACCATTTATGTTTGAATATTGTATTATCCTGGCTTAAGAGTTTTAGTCAGCAATTAAATCTTGTCTAGGAGTTCTTAAACATTGCTTACCGTTCTGTTCTATGACACATCTAAGAAGAATTTTAGTCATTTTAGATTCAGCTTTGGGAATTGCCTTTTTAACCTAACTGGAACAAGTTCTCTCTGAATTCAATAGCCCTGATTGTGCTGAGTTTCTTACAAGTGCAATTTAAGTTTGGGGTTATTCATAATAGGAAGTGATCTTTATTCATTAGATTTTAACAAGAAGAAACTTGTAAGAAAAAAATAATCAGGTGCTGCAGAAATTAGGCTGACAGGGAAAGTCAGCTTAGTTTTCATCAGAGACTGTATTTATGATGTTCTCAGATTTCTTCTCTCCCTCTGAAGCGGAAAGGAGATTCGGGAGGGTTCAGATACTTAGTCCTGGGATGATGGATGGGGTCGATCAAGTATCCCTGCAGATCACCTAGAATTGAATTGTTTTCCTAGTTTGCTTAATGACAAACAGGCATATAATTTGGATCCATAGATTATTTCATTTCAGAGTATCTTGATGCAGGGCATGCAGCTATTTCATGGATTTAGCAGTTATTAATTGTTGGGGCTGTCCCCTGAGTGATCAGTATACTGTACCTACATGGCTCTGTATAGTTTGACTTAGACTTTCCATATCATAGAAGGTAGGAAATTTTTAACTGAATTTTTTTTAACCTATCCATACTGTAATATTGAGCATTGCTTGCCACTCTACTCTGTTACAATCTTTTCCTCTCCCAAATTAAATAGAGTATTAATGAGCTTTAACATAAATGAAATATGGACAGATTAAAATAATAGCTTTATTACCTTATCTTAAATTCCCCACAATCCAGTCATTTTTAGGTATGGGTAATGTACCAAAAATAAATAATATAAAAATTCAGAAATATTTAAATGAGCCTCCAGCCACCAAAATGCTGCCCATCACTTTGCTAAAAGTTTTAAAAAGAGCTGGAGTAGTATCTAGCAGGGATACTGTTAATGAAGATACACATTTGCTTTTGCTAAAGGATGATATGAACATTTTTATTCTTCTCTTCTGTTGCCATTTTCTACTACTTGAAAGTACTGTAATTAGCAAAAATGAATACAAATTTTCTAAAACTGTTACCTTTTTCAGCTTTGGGGTTTTTTTTAAAGTTATTTTGTTAAAGCCCTAGAAGTTTTTTTGATAGGATTTGAATAAGGAACAACTGTTTTTGGTCTGAATGTCAGCTCGCCAAACTACTATAGTCCTAAAGCTTTCCAACCGCCACCTGCTTCTCTCAGAAGGTGCTGCCAAGTTTATTTCATGGTTCTTAGACAGTTCTCACTTCTGCTTTTAGTATGTTCAGTAGCACTTTTAATAATTCAAAAGATAATAATGGTGGCATCTGGTAACACTCAGAACAGTGTTTGCAAGGGTCAGTATTAATGAAAAATTTAAATCTTTGACCACAGGTAAAAAAAAATTACCAATTTATTTATTTAAATACCACTTGCAGGAAGAAATAATGTGTTAAACAGGCTGAGTAGCAGGGAAAAGTTAGTAAGCAAGCTCAGGAAACAAAAACTACCTGGATTTTTTGGAAAGATCTTTGTTGCCAGTAGGGTAATATAACAGAATCTTGAAAACCTAGCAAAGTAATTCTTCCAGAGAATTAAGGCAGAGTTCCTCTGACTTTCTTTCTCATTCTTCTTCCCTTACCTGGACTCAGGAACTCCATCACAGTTTTCCAGATAACCACCCACTAAATGAAAATAATAATAATGAGCGAGAGGTCCAACCCACAGCCCCTGCTTTCTGGGGTGCCATAGGGCTCAGTGCTCTCTCCCCTCTGTTTTAATATCTACAGGAAGCTGCTGGGTGAGATCATCTGTCACCACGGGATGAGGTATCATCACTATGCTGATGATACTCAATTATACATCTCTGTCCCAGGTGAATTAAGTGATACTGTGGATGTTCTTTCGCAGTGCCTGGAGGCTGTGGGGGTCTGGATGGGGAACAACAGACTTCAACTGAACCCTGGCAAGACGGAGTGGCTGTGGGTCAGGGTCTCCCATATCTGGGGTTTTACCATCTTTGGTTCTGGATGGGGTTGCACTGCCCCAGACAGACCCGGTGTGTAATCTGTGGGTCCTTCTGGACTCATGACTCCTGCTTGAGGAGCAGGTGGTAGCCATGGCTAGGAGGGCCTTTGCTCAACTTTGTGTTGTGCGCCAGTAGTGCCCTTTCCTGGACTGGGAGGCCCTTCTCTCAGCCCTGGTCATCTCTTATATGGACTATTGGAACATGCTCTGCATGGGGCTACCCTTGAAGAGTATTCAGAAGCTGCAGCTGGTGCAGAATGCAGTGGCGCGGGCAGTTATGGGTGCCTCGAAGACTGTGCATGTAACACCTCTGCTGTGCGAGCTGTATTGGGTGCCAGTCTGCTTCTGCGTCCAATTCAGGGTGTTGGTTATGACCTTTAAAGCCCCTGATAGCGTGGACCCAGGTTACCTGAGGAACCGTCTCATCCCCATTATGTTGACCTGTCTCACTTGGTCCAGCAGGAAGGGTATGTTATGTCGCCTAGAGAGTTTTGACCAGTGGGGTCCAGGAGGAGACCCTTTTCTGCCGTGGCTTCCGCCCTCTGGAATATCTTGCCCCCAGTCTGTTGGCCTTCTGAAAGGGTGTTAAGACCTGGCTCTGCCAACTTGCATGGGGACCCAACAGGGGTTCACAGCACTGGGAGTGGCTGGTAGCCTGAGGATGCTTTCTTCGCCTTTTTAGTTTGGATTGTAGCTTTAACTTTTTAGCTTAATTTTAACCTTTTGTAGTTTTTAACCTGTATATTTTTTCTAGAATTTTATAGTTTATCTGTAACACCGCCTAGTGAGATGGGTGGCATATATAAACTTGAAAAATAAATAAATAAATAACTAAATAACTAAATAAATAATCAATCTTTTAATAAAACTTGCCTTTTCATTAGCCATATCCTATCAGTAATTTCCTACATCCCATATTTCCTCTTGCCACTGAGAGCTATTTCAAACTGTGCTGAAATTCCACAGTGTACCACCTTCGACAGCAGATGTGGAACTGCTTTGATAGGAATGCTTCCTGTAGTTATTGTGGATTTAATTTCCTCTTTAGCCTTTCCTTAATATGCTCCATTTCAGAGAATAGGGAATATTCAAACATGGGGACAATACATCTTAGATTCAAAATAAAGCCATGTTGATTTTGTACAGAGGTGATGTGTTAATAGGAACTACTGTCCAGTTTTTTGTCCTTTTCCAGTGTATTTAGACTGGAGATGGCTCTCTATAAAACACCAAGGTATGCCCATTTTTTAAAATCATCAGGGCATCCCAGAACTTATATTGGTTTACTAGAAATGAATGAGCATCCCATTGCCATATCAACCAGGTATCTGTAGAAAATAAAACAGTGGTTTGTTTAAAATTTAGCTTGTAAACAGTGATAGGTATTACTTGCTCGATATGCAAGTGATGCATAATACCTTTGTGGAATACAACATGTGCTTTTTCTGGGTGAATATTCAGTGCTTGCTACCATTGAGATATTTCCCTCCTGAGTTTTGAACTTACCATGTGATGACTCTTTTCTGCAGATGTCCCTCTAAGGGAGTTATATGAGTATATTTTTATTATAAGAAAGACAGAATAAATATTTGATCATTTATCTTGGTGATGTATCTAAGCAATAACCTTTTCAGTACAGGCAGTCCCTGGGTTAAGAACATCCAGCTTAAGGACAACTCCTAGATATGAACAGGCTGCCTATTATTAAACAAGGCAGATGGCATTCTCCTTCCTTGAGCTGACGAACTGCTGAAGCATGCAATGCTTTCAGGAATTGCTGAAGCCAAGTGTTTTTAGTATACAACCCATAGTTAAGAATGGAGCCTATTGTAGCAAAATTTGAGTTAAATACACATTCGTTCGAGTTCATTACACAATACTACTTATACAGTATTAATACAATAATACTGTTCTGACTTACATACAAATTCGACTTAAGGACAGACTTTGGGAATGAGTTCTGTTCCCAAGGTCTGTCCTTAAGTCAAATTTGTGTGTAAGTCTGGGGACTACCTGTATAGCCTGTTTTCAGCTGTTCCTGAAAGCATTGCGTGGTTTCAGTGGTTTGTCAGCTCGAGGAAGGACAATGCCATCCACCATTTTTAGTAATAGGCAATCCATTTGTAAGTACCAGTTCCAACTTACATACAAATTCAAGTTAAAGACAGAGTTAGGAACAGAACTCATTCTTAACCCCGGGACTGCCTGTAATTCAAGATCTAAGAGAAAATTGGCTTTCTTGAAGCAATATTTAAGGACATATATTTAAGGTAAAATATATTCAGTGGACAATTATACATGCCAAACCCCAGTGAGCTAAACAGTAATTTATTTGGGTGCTTTAAAAATCACCCAACAACTTCAGCTAATTGGAAAAAAAATTCCTTCTTACTAAGACACATTTTGTTGCAGGATAACAGTATAACATTTATGTTCCTATAATTCCTAATATAGAGGTTGAAATTTTTCTCTTAAAGAACAAGGTAAGAAGCTTTCTCTTGCCCTTTGATTCTACTGAAGTATTTTCAAAATCTTCCGAAGGAATATCTACCGAAGAAAGTAGTAAAAAACCCAATCAGCCTGTTTTAAAGTCTACATTTAGACTGATTATATCTGCTGCCAGAAATACTAATTCACTACTGTTTAGTTTATCATCATGCTTTTTTGATGACTTTATTGACTTAAACCTTACAGAGAACTAAATGCATTTGGTACTCATCTAAGCTGCCCCTTCTATGAGCAAGCCAGACACTGAAGGATAACTCCACATTAAAAAGTTTAAAAGGAGGTCCACAGTATATTACCCTCACCTACTGCTGAAGGATGCAGCCCCTAATATTTTGGCACAAGTTGTGAGATTTTGCTCTGAAGCCATACAAAAAGCTTCAGAGCAAAATCTCCCCTCCCCTCCCCTCCCCTCCCCTCCCCTCCCCTCCTTCCTTCACAAAAAGCTGCCTTTTTGTGGTGTATCTGCACTTTCTCAGGCTGGCACTTTTCCTACTGATAATCATTTTGATTAACTAGAATTCAGTTTCATAGGCAGATCTCCTATGAATTGTCAAAACTACCAGATAGATGGTTAAATGTAGAGTAATCATGGCACACTGATCTTTTGGAGACCATAACTCTGTTTATCAGTTACCTAGCACTTTCCTGAAACATTTTCAAAATATTTCAAAAGAATGAAGCAACTGCACAGAGGTTTCTTTTCTTGCAGAGATAAGCATTGTAGGCACTGTTTCATGGTCAGCTTTGAGATTCTGGAGCCTTTTTTTTTAACATGGCAGAGTTCTATCAGTACTATGTCCTTGGAGTTATAAGACCCTAGAAGTAGAAGGGAGCTCTCCCCTACACAGGAAAGTAAAATCTACTTTTACTTTGATTTGTGTGTTTCCTGCATTCAGGAATAAGTGAGATGGCACCCCGTTCAAGAATAATGTCCTCCTCTGTAGTTAAAACAGAGCTCAAGGCATAAACAAGAGTCTTTGGGGCATTATAAATGTACATGACTCAGTCTTTATAATAGATGTTAATTGAAATGCTCTTATCCTTTCAGGAACAGTTGTCACAAGTTTTGGATGCCATGTTTGAAAGGAAAGTGCAACCTCAGGAACATGTAATTGACCAAGGAGATGATGGAGACAACTTTTATGTCATTGAAGAGTAAGGAGCCAAAGTATTGCTATGAGACAAGTTTTTAAACATTGTTTCTAATATACATATTAAATTAAACTGTATTGGATCTAACATTAACTAGGAATGAGGAAGCTGAACTTTCTATACTTCAAATAAACAGGACAGACTTTGGAGAGCATGCTATGATTGTAAGAAGGCTTAACAAAGGAACAAAACTATAACTTTCACCTTATAATGCAGAAATCAATTGAAAATTATATATGAGCAGTCCATATTAATATATAGGGGTTATTTATTGATGTTTACTGTTTAAAAACTCTCTCTAGTCCATTTTATACATAGCTATTTCATCTCTATAAAGAAATGTTTCAAGTAGAAAGATTCTTATTTTACAGTCATGAAATGTGTTTACTGGATTTAAGTGTTGAGATAGGTATGTAAGTTCATTCTCAAATATTATTGTGCTAATTGCTTTTCACAATGAATGCCTACTTAATTTTTTGGCATATATGGTAAATATGTTTATGGCTTTTTGTGAAACTGGAATGGTAATGAGTGTGAGCCCGAGGACTATGTTGGATAAATGGCTACAGGTAGTCCTCATTTAGCAACCATTCATTTAGCGACTGTTCAAAGTTATGATAGCATGAAGAAGTGACAACCGGTCCTTGTACTTATAACTGTTGCAATGTCCCCACAATCACATCACAATTTGGGCACTTGGCAACCATTGCACATTTACAATAGTTGCAGGGTGAGATGATCACCATTTGCAGTCTTCCCAGCTAGCTTCCGACAAGCAAAGTCAACAGGGAAGCTGGCAGAACGTCGCAAGTTGTGGTCATGTGATGTCTCGCTTAACAACCACAGGTGATTTGCTTAATGACCATAACCGGGACTGCCATCACTACGTGGGGCAGTCATGTGATGTTTCGCTTAACAACTGCTTCACTTAGTGATGGAGTGGCTGGTTCCAGTTAGGGTCATTAAGCAAGGACTACCTGTACTATATAGAAATTGAATTTCCAAAGAATTCAGCTCAACTACTCAGTTTGGGAAGGTTATTTGGATCCATGGCTCATTTTATTTATTGTTATAAGAATTTATATCCCTTCTTTAAAATAGGTGATGTGGCTTATAATACTTTCACAAGTCATAAACAAAATTAAAACCAGGAAGATCCAAAATCTAAAAGCACCTTTGATGATCTTACACAGATAAAATAGAATTAGAACAAATTCTAGGATCTGGGCTGAGTGTACTAGAATTCTGTTTGCTATTCTGAACCATTGGGAGCTTATTCTTTCACTAAATCCAATATGCCTGTTTGCAGAATTTATTCCATAGAATTTGTTTCTTGTTACTTAAGCATACATTTAAGGCATATTCAGTAAGAATCAGTTTTTTCCAATCTTGGATTCACGTAGGTGTTTCCCATTTCTGATATTGTTGAGAATGTGTATATGCTTCATCTTTAGAACTTCATTATGAAAGAACATTTAATAATCATACCCATATTTACATAGATTGCTAATAGTTCTGATATAATATGTACTGTTCTGTTTAGCTGTATTGTCTACCACCAGCATAAGCATTAAAATGTTTTCATTTCTTTAGCTTTGAAATTACTTCAGGCATAATACAATTCAAGGCAAATATCCAGAATCTGTAGTGTGGAAAACTCTGTTACTGAGCTGTGTTACCCAGAAGCTACTCATTTATGCTAGAGCAGCTGTGGAGATTATATTGGCATCTTAATTTTTATATAAACTAAAGTTGTTTCTTGAAAGCCTCCAAAATTGTATCCTCATTCCACTTTTTAAAGCGCATGGAAAATACATTATTTTCCAGAGATTGTTGAATTCCCCTTTTTTATAGTAACAAGTATTAATCCTTTCTGTGGAAGTGCATTTTATAATACTGTCATCCCCATACTATCTTGGGAAGTAGAACAGATACAAAACTGTCAGATTACAAAATGCAATTTGATATATCTCTAAAGATGTGTAAGCCAAGGAATCTTGTGAAAGCAGAGGAAAAATAATTCCCAACGGCAGTTTCTTGAATAGTACCTCTGTATTTGAGAAAACTAGAATAATGCTATAGAGAGCCTGTTTTTTCTCTCCAGATAATCAGTGCTAAGTTCCTGAATGATTAGATAGTTGGACAGGTTAATCATTTGAGGAAACGTTTTTGAAAGACTGACTGAGATATGTGAAAATATTCATCTTCTGCAGATACCTTTGTAGAAACAGAATGCTTAAGTTTAAATAATTAAAATGTGGGCTGGGCAGGCTCATCGGCCTTTACAAAGGATTCTGATGTTGGAGCCTCTGAGGCATTTGTAGTCCTGCCAGCAGCAGAGCAACAGGGAGAAAAAGAAGTGAGAAATGTTATTTCGGTATTCTCAGTTTTCCAACAGTTCAGTGCATCTGCCTCTTTTGAAAACAGTGGAAGGGAATTAACCCCAACTCAGTTTTATAGGTTAGAAGCTTACTTGGAGGTCATTTCTAGAAGCCAAGAGCCTCTCCTTTCCCCAGTTGTATGGGCTATACATGATTCCATATTATTTAGCATTTCAAGAAAATAAGCTTCCAGATAAGGATCAATACAGTGAAAAGGCGATTGGGGGTGGGTGGGGATGGGCAGTGTTTGGAGGCAAGTTGGGATACATGCTGACAGAGCATGTTCTGTTCAAACCACAGAGGAGAGAGATGGCAACTATCTTATTTTTGCTTTAGAGAGTAAAATACTTCTATTTTTATTAAACTGAGTTTTTATTAGCAGTGCTTTGCATCTGGTCTAATGCCCAGGGTTTCTACCTTCCCATCTTTCTAGGGGATCATATGATATTTTTGTATCACGAGAAGGCCAAACTCGCTGTGTTGGCCGCTACGATAATCATGGCAGTTTCGGGGAACTCGCCTTGATGTACAACACTCCTAGAGCTGCAACAATTGTTGCAATAACAGAAGGAGCCCTTTGGGGACTGGTAAGTTTTATTTGTGGGAAATCTTCTAATATTTCTTGTAATACACAAACATAATTTCTATCAGCCTTTTCTATTTTCTCTTACTGTGTTTATCTCAGTATATTGAAGCATGCTTATTTTTCTCTGAGTCCTGTCTGTTATTACTAGCAAAGTTTTATTTGTTTTTAGCCAAAGGCCACTGTAGTGGAAATGTGTAAAAAGCAAAAGGAAGAAAGGTGAAACAAACATAATAAAACAGAAAGAATAATGTTGCAGAGAAACAGATAAAGCCTGGTTTTCAAAACATAAAATCCTTAATACCCTCATCCCCTTTGAAATTGATGGCACTCCCAGCTAGATAAGGGGCACACAGCTTCTTGATAGCCACAGCAACCTTGTATGACGTATTGTGAAGCAAAAGGAATCTCATCTATCCGCAGTTTTTTCACTATTTCCTTCACTATTTCAACTTGCATAATCTTTATTATTATTCAGTCCTTTGGCATCCAAAGTTCTTTTTAGATTTAGATTGGATTTTGGAAAAAAAATGTCACCAATGTAAAACATTTGTGTGGTCACTGTGCTACAAAACTGAGATGAACTCCCATTTAAATTGCTGGGCTGAGGATATACAGTTGCATGCAAAGATTAGGCACCCTGGTCATATTCTATATTTCAAGGAGTCTCCAAGTGAACAACACCTGACACAACCTCTGCATGGTACAAAGTTAAATACAACTTCTTTCTGTAAATTTGAATACATGCTTACTATTTACGTGCAATTTAAAGATTCAAAATTAGAAAAGGGTGCAGAGGCGTCAACACCTTTTGGCCAATATCTTATGATGTCTCATTTGGCAAAAACAAGAAGTTCAGAATGTGGGCAGCTAAAAGTTTTTCTTCCTCTTGCCCTTGCATTTTTTCTCTCTCTTCTTTGAGAGTGGGATGTGTGTGTGTGTGTGTGTGTGTGTGTGTGTGTGTAGTGGCTAGCATGTGGTCTGTGGCAAGGAATGAATGAATGAATGTCAAAAGAAGCAAAAATGGTGATATTTAAGACTATGCTGCTTTGTTATATGCCTTTGTTATATGGAAGTGAGAGGAGAAATACAAAGATTGAATGCAGTAGGATTGGGATAATTAAGTGTATGTTGTAAAATAAGAAGTGATCAGATCAAGAAAGAATTAATATGAACTGAATACAAAAGTGAGTGACCAGTAGGAAAGAGGTACCTTGAGGCAGTTTGGTTATACAGAGAGAATGAATGAGGATTAAATTGCAAAATAAATATATGAAAAGAGTAAATGGCTCAAGAGGGAAAAGAAGACCAAGAAAGTCATGGTTGGATGAAGCTGATGAAACCTTCAATAAGTAAGAGGTGAGAAGTTTAAAGAAACAAAAGGAATGAATGGAAGCAAGGATGGTTTGCAAGGATAGCTATGGAGAGGTATAAGGAATGGTGTTGATCTAAACTAGATTTAGTCATATTTTCTTTTTCTTACCTCATACTTTTAACTTTTTAATTCACTATTTCATACTCCATTTCTGCAATTTGCATAACATTGCTTAACCCAGAAGGGAACAGCATGATGGATATGTATGGATGTTATGAGCATAAAGAGGACAATGTGATTCACATGGATCATCTAGCACAGGGACTTGTTCTGTATCCAAGAGGCTTAGAAGCTAAACCTGGATGTCCCCAGTGTGGTGTCTGTGAATACCAAAATGCCTTTGAAATCACTAGGCATCCTTTCCAAACTGATATTTTGCATTTTTAATAGAAATAATTTTAAAATCATAAGCTTGAATCCTGGAAAACAAAGTGCTTCAGGTGTTACTTTATATTAGTTGCGTATCTGAAAAGCTTAGAGCCCTTCATAGCTATTTGCAGTAATTTTCTTTGCTGTTGCTGTTGCAACAGAGTCCTTTGAATTTTCATAGAATTAGAAACATAACGCTTCTAATCTGTTGTACACCACCCAGAGTCACCTGTGGTGAGATGGGCAGCTATATAAATTGATTTAATAAATAAATAAATAAGCATAGGCTTCATGGCAGCCACCTTTAAATTCATTGATACAAATGTTTTTAATCAGTATATAGCAATATGCTTGTTCATTCTAATCTGTTGTACACCACCCAGAGTCACCTGTGGTGAGATGGGCAGCTATATAAATTGATTTAATAAATAAATAAATAAGCATAGGCTTCATGGCAGCCACCTTTAAATTCATTGATACAAATGTTTTTAATCAGTATATAGCAATATGCTTGTTCATCCTCTAGCATACATTGGGTTTTTTAAAAATCTTTTTCCCTACTCTTCCCTACTTTTTCCTTGTTTTTTGTAGAAAATGGCAAGTAATAATTCATTTCTGATACTAATGTATGTTTACTGGTCTTAGCATTTGCTCCACATGGTTGCAGAATCCACTTGTTTTAGCACTGCACCTACCTAATTTTTACAGTAAAGCAATCAATGCATGATGCAAGCCGGCTTGCTTTTCATAGAAATTGATGCTGATTAAATCTGAAAGGGAATGGCTGGTCTGAGGTCGCCAGCTGGCTTCCCTGCTTAAGAAAATAGAACCTGGGTCTACCTGCACCTTGGTCAGCATCTTAATCACTACATCATGGTGTCTCTCTTTGGTGAGAGTAGAGTGAAATAGGGTAAAATTATTTTTTATTTTGGTTTGTATTGCAAATGGAAGATACTAGTAAAAGGTAATGATCAGAATGTTGGAGTAGGGTGAAAACAAGTCCAAGTTCAAATCCCCACTAGCCATGGAGCTCATTAATGATCTTTGGCCAGGCACTTGTCTTTCAGGGTAATCTACATAGCACAGAGGTTGTTGTGAGAATAAGTGAGAATAGAAATGAATGTGTACACTTGTGAGCTCCTGGTGGAAAGACAGAATATAAATGTAATAGAGTAACATTAAAAAATACATCCAGTTTGTTCCATAATTTTGAGCTAGTGGCCAAATGTAATAGAGAAACAATCACATAGTTCATGATTGTGATCTTTTTCTGTGGCTATACTTATATTTCTACTTGATTATCAATGTCATTTTCAACTTTCCAGAGATTCTTTTATCAATATCTTGTCTGCTTCACAATTATCTTAGTTTCTTTACTTTGTGTTAGCTGTTTATTGAAGCCCTGGGGGAACTTTTAAATGTCAAGCCTCTTCCACCTCCCCTGTCGCATACAGAAGCCATTACACATTACATTACACACTGAAGTTGTTATGAGTCTAAATTGACAAAGTGAGAAACTGAATCACAATTTTCTATAGTTGCAGTATAATCACTACAGGTTACTTCCTTGTTCTAGTGTATGGTTCCCTTCAGGAGTTTAATGCTGTTGCATACAGTATGGCTCTAAATGCTTTGAAAATGATTAGGAAGATGTGCTTGAGACCTCATGCAAGTATAGCATCTCTAAAAAGTTGCTGCTGCTTTAAGAGTCATTTTAACAAGTTGAATCATTAAAACAGTATTGTGTTCTTTAAGACTTGTGCAAAAGTCAGAAAAAAGACATGGCAACTTTAATTACTGGGAGAAAGGTGCTGTGCTCACGTGATGTCCAAAATGCTTTTTCCTAATCATTTTTGAAGCATGCACAGTGCTGATAAACAGTACTCTCTCCTCTAATTTCATCCTCACAACAACTCTATAACTTACACTGGGGGAAGAGTTAGTGATTGAGACTTTACACACAATGGAATTAAAGTTGGATCTTTCTAATCGTGGTCCCAAACCTTAAGTGTGATATTTTTTAGGCTTTTTGTATCCACATATGAAAAGTAGGAATTTATCCATGGAGTTCTGTTTGATAAATACTGTTTTTTCTAATGCATGTGATGCATAGCTTCCTACAAACGTTGCAAAAGATGGCTTATTTCCAGTTTCTGTTGAACCAGGAAATGTATGTATTTTTCCTTGACGAAAATGGCAAGCGTACAAAGAAAACAGTGAAAGTGAAAGGGAGGCTTTCAGAGTTATGTTTGAAATGGTTACCATTCCAGTGGAGAATCTCTTTTCAGAGAATATTCTATTTAAAGATAAGCAGTCAATAAAGTAAAATATTCCAGAGTAGCAAGGACTTTGCATGAGACTACGTTTGGAACACATTGAAGGCTGGTTTTCATGCATAGATATAAACTTGCATAAATAAAGGGATTCCTCTTTTGGGGTCCTAGGAGAATGATTATACCATTTATCTGGTTGCAATGCACAAATTATATGTACTTTAGTACAAAAATAACATTGCTATGGTATTTGAAATGTTACAAGTTGCACTGTCAGTTGTACACATATAAAACTGATCTTGAAACTTGTGCAGAATCTAAAGCAGTGTTGTCCGAACTTGGCCACTTTAAGATGAGTGGACTTCAACTCCCAGAATTCCCCAGCCAGCCATGCTCATCTTAAAGTGGCCAAGTTTGGACAACACTGATCTAAAGACTCTCAAATCAACTTGATCATTTGCTGCCACCTAATGGACCCAATCTTGGGAAAAAAGAATATAGATGTTACTGTGCAGAATCAGTGCTGTGTCAGTTCAGGTTATTTCCCTGCCCTGCCTAAAGTTGTCAGAAATTCTTGATGTAAACAGCTGTAAAATATTTGGCTCTGCATTATTTAAAAACTGTTTGATTTCTAGAAGTGTCCTGCGACTGGCTAATTGCAGGATGGGGAATCCATAATCCACAGAAATGGCTAGATTAATCACTCCTGATTATTGAATTAGGCAGGTTTGAAGTCCAGCAGTCTGTGACAGGCCACAAATTCTCCTCCTTCAGGTTAATAAATCCTGACTGTAATAGTCACTGTCAAGCTTAATGTGCACTTAACTAAGCAATATTTCCTTGATGGGTTAGGGCAAGTGCTCGTTAGGGTCTCCAAGAGGGCAAGTGAGGCAGATGACATGTGATGATGTGGTCATGCAAATGCCTTGACTTAGCTATTTCCATCAAATATCCTAGTGCAAGTATGTAATGGTGGCATTTGCATAATTATGTCATTGCATGCTTGGCATCGCTTCGGCATCATTGTGGCTTCTTATGGATGCTGCTGTTTGTGTGTAATGTACTTTGGTTTATTTTCTGTAGTTAAATGTTCATATTCCACTCCTCAATCTCAGGGAGAAAAACAAGTTAAAAGATAAGTTCCTGAGAAATAGGCGGTACAGAGTGTGTTAAGCTATATTAGTTTCCCATGTACTGATACGTAAGTGCTTTCTTGTAGTTTGCATCAGCTGAATGGGCTGTTTCTTCAAAAGACTGATCTTTCCCCATGCTTCCAATGAATCAGTTAGGAAGCATTTTTATTAAACATTTGATCATTCTTAACAGGCAGCTTCTTGTCTGTATCATTTGCAGAAAGAAAATATTAAGAGAGTGTTTTTGGCATCTTTTTTCTCCCCATTTCCCCCCTCCCCGCTAGTATTAATGTTGGCCTTTTTTTGAAATTAGTAGTATTAATACCAGTGAATAAGTTAATATACTACTTATTCATACAAAAAAGGCCAACATTATAAGTAGGTATGTTTTCTGTTTGTCTTGATAGGATTCTAGCTTCATTAGCTCAGAAAGAAATAACCAAAGAAAATAACTTTTTCATTCTGTTTCTTAAAGGATCGAGTAACATTCAGAAGAATTATTTTGAAAAATAATGCAAAGAAAAGGAAAACATATGAACTATTTATTGAATCAGTGCCTCTTCTTAAGTCACTGGAGGTAAAGTACTTTGTGGGAGATGAACTGGAAACCCTGTCTAGTTAGATTTTCCTCAGCACTGTAAATGTTTAAGAGGAGGTTAGGGGCCAGCAGGTAGGACAGTATCTCTGACAGCAGTTACTTTATAATCTTAATAGGTTTCTTAGTAAGCTCTTCAGACAGATTTGGCTGGTTCTCTGTGTATATTGTTTCTGAGTGAGCCAAGAAATATACAGTGGAGTCTTTCTGTATGACAGCTGGCCTCTGTAGTCTTAAGTGGCTTCTTCACATTTGAAACCTATACAGTAGTGGCCTATGTTGAACATACAGCAATACCGAGTTAGTTGTCAGAAAGTCAAGAAAGTTATCATACACTGCATGCCAGGCTCTTTGATCATCCTTCTGCTAATTAGTTCAGTAATAAAAGCAAAGAAATACATTAGCTTCTAGATGTAATGGTGGTGGAACTGCTACTGCTGCTTCTCCTCTTCAGCAAATAGCCAAACGCACATACACTCTGAAAAGGATCAGAGTAGCAATGTGTCCATTTTTTGGGGTTGAGATGTATGTAGAAAAGTGAGATAGGAGTTGAAGTCCACACGTCTTCAAACTGCCAAGGTTGAGAAACACTGTTAGAGGAAGAGACAAGTCATATCAAATTATGGCTGGTGTGGGTCTTCCGGGCTATGTGGCCATGTTCTGGAAGTTTTGTTTCCTAACGTT